ATATAGTGTTCTCTGTTGTTATTGTTCCTCATATTAATTGCCCCATGAGGTAAGTTGGCTGAAAGAGAGATTCAGTCATAGTTTCATTCCACACAGTATTAACCTTGTGAACTCTAAATCTTCCTCTTTCTGTTATGTATTCAAGATGGGCAGTAATTAATATTTATATGTTATTTATATGTAAGGGTGTAGGTTTATAATATGTTGTATATAGCATATTTAAATGCATGTAATATATGTGTACACTTTAAGAGCAAGCAACTAAATTTCATTTTTAATATGTGCTAATGTGCCCACAGTAAAAAAATGACAATAAAGATTATCTATCTATAATGCCTGAACTCTGAGTAATTCTTTGTTCCTTAGTCCAAAACAAAGGTTTTGTACATGTTGCCTACCAGCATGAAAATTTAATTATTTTGTTGATTGTTTAATATGCAGCAGTGATTTTCTCTAAGTTGCTGTTATTCTTTTCCACAGGCATCTAGTCTACATAAAACAAAAGGTGAAAAGAAGAGGAACTATAGTCTCAGTAGTCATCTGTCCCAAAATTATCACACTATAGGAAGCTGGGCAATTTGTGGAACCCCTAGTTATGCCAAACATTTTGTTTGCATACTTGCTTGCAAGTCCTAAAGTCATAAGGAGTAACTGCCAATTGCCAAAAATAAGTGGAACGGTGTTTTTTTTACCAATTTCCTTCAATAAACTAAAAAAATTAACGTGCATATAAAACTAAAAAAACAACTTGGTGAAGGTAAAACAATAATAATGTAATAAATAATAAAATGAATGGAACTCTCTACTTTCATATGTCATATGATTACCAGTTCACATCCCTATTGCCCTGAACTGCCAAAGGAGATTTAAAAATTACCGTCTACAGCTGAAAAAAACCCCTATTTCTTATTTGCCCTATACCTTTCTCTGGTTTATGAGAATTGGATCTAAAGAAAGAGATGTATTCTTGTTTTGTATATGTGCGTTGTAAAATTGCTTTTGGTGCTGTAAAACTGCTTTTGCCCTGCAGGTACAATTTCATTTTAACATTGTTCCACTGACATCTAGTTCAAATGAAATTTCATAATTTCCTCTCCTGACTTTAGTGATGAAGGGTTCTACAACAGAATTAATCCCTTAACATAAAATTCTGTTATACAAAATGCATTGTTAGATTTTATACTTGCATTCTATGTGTGCAGAGTATAAGCCATCTGCACGGGAATGGTTTCTAAAGTTCTAACCATAACAGGTAGATAATTGTATTGACATCGAGCATGTTTATCTAATTTATTGTTTTCATTGTAGAAAGTAGTCTTATCTAATTTCAAAAAGATGCATATAGGTTACTGTCAAGTTAAGAATGCTGTTCTCAAGAAAGTTGGCTTCAGCTACATTGTTCAATGTATTATAACATCATTTTTTCACACTCCTTTTAGGTTTTCAAGACAATACAAAAGTTAAAGGTTTCCCCTTTCCAGGCACATCTGACTCTAGGGGGCAGTATTCATCTCTATTTCTTAACCGCGGGAGCCAGCATTGTCCAAATATATTTCCATGGTCACATGGCCAGCATGACTATACACTGAGGCACATGGAATGTTGTTACTTTCCCACCTGAGTGGTACCTATTTATCTACTCACATTTGCATGCTTTTGAACTGCTAGGTGGGGAGGAGCTGGGGCAAATAATGGAAACTTACTCCATTGCACAACACTTGGGTCTCAAACTCAGGCTGTCAGCTTTTCAGCTGACAAGCTCAGCGTCTTTACCTGCTGTTTTGCTCCCCAAAACAATAGATATAGAATAAAATTACTGTATTTACTTCTGATTTCATATGTGCCTTATATTTCTACATTTGCTTCTTTTACAATAATTGTATATTAAATACATTACTTTTTTAATACTTCGTATAGGTAATTGCAACAGAAAATCTATACAGTTTGATTTTAGAAGGAAAGAGGGAATGTTTTCCAGAGCAGAAAACAGAGTAAACTTAGGCATGAAATAACATTAAAGAATTGCTTCAGGGTGAAGTTCCAAAGGTCAAAGCCAAGGGGTTTTTTATTTTTTTTGTGCAACATTTCTAAAAAGTGAGAATGGGTTTCATTTTAACTTCTTGGTTATATTGCAAAATGTCTGAGCTATGTGAAAAGTGATGACTTCCTGATAGTTCTTAACTTCACATCACAATGAGCAGAAATAATTACCCAGATGATAAAAACAAATCTAGTAAGTAGATTTGTTGTAGAAAAATTAAGGATACCATTGTGAAAGAATTCTAGTGCTGTTTCTTTATCAGTTACAAATCCTATTATTAGTGACATTAACATTCAAGTTCTTACATCTCTTTCCTCTGCCCACGTAAGGTAATGAGAAAAAAGCCATTCTCGTTTATGTGAGAGTGACACTTTCCAATTCTTCCTTGTTTCAGTAACAGACTAATACAAACAATATCAGTCTTTTGCCTGAAAGCTTGTCCCTTCCTTTCCCTTTAAGATATCAAAGTGATACCAATAAAAGCACACATATTGTATATAGAGAAGCAAGTTTTAGTTTTAAGAACCAACCATTCAACTAAAAGTTATAATTACAATTAGGATCCTCAATATTACAACTAATTGACTGTAGTAGACTTTCTGTAATTACTGTCATGTCATATAAAATTGCAACATATCTGCTTCCTGAAGTCCCTGGGTTTCTGAACAGTTACAAGATCCCCGTATTAGTAAATGTCTCCCGTTATGGGTGGAGACTAAGACATTGATTTGCTGAGTTAGGTAAATTGCTGCACAATACATTTTTTTAAGTCATACAACAGCTATGCATTTGAATGCAGTTCTTACTCAGCTGCCTAACCAATCTGTATGTATTTACTTTTCTCTTCATGTAAACTGGTTGTGTATTCTTCAGTTAATGTAATATGTTTCTGCTTGGATTCCTTAATTGCTAAACATTTTGATCCTTTTTTCTGGCTCAAAGCCCCCGAAAACCTATTATTAAATTGCCTTTTGTAATAATCCTGTGGTCTGTAATTAATTCATGTGTGTCTATAGGAGATGCAAGATAAAAGTATTATGTAGAGCTTAAATCAATCTTTAAATAAGTTAACCCAATTAAATCAAGACCCACCAGGCAAGGTGTTGGGAACTGGGCATTGCTAGATTGCAAATAATAACAAACAATTCTGTAATAAAAATTTCTACTATTCAATCACTATAAAGTTTTGAACTCTTTTTTGGAAGACTCCAACTAAATAATACACTGTAACTTGGAATAAAGAGTTAAAGACCTCTGTGCTATTTGAAAACAAAATTTCTGTTGGTGGATACTGTTTCTTAAACTGAAATTGGGACTTCCATTTTCTGCCTGCAAACGTATGGCAACATTGCAAATGTAGACATAATGCAGTGGTTCTCAACCTGTGGGTCGGGATCCCATTTGTGGTCGAACGACCATTTCACGGGGGTCGCCAAACAAGGCTGTCCGCCATTTTTTCCCCCTTTTCTTTGGCCACGCCCCTGGCACCTGGTGATGTATAAGTGGTTCGAGGTCACCACAACATGGGGAAGTGTATTATGGGGTCGCGGCATTAGAAAGTTTGAGAACCACTGACATAATGAAATATCTATATAACTGAGCTATCTGCATAATTTGCGGATTCTACTTTGTTTCAATTCATATTAATGAAATTCAAAAGCAATTTATGGTCCAAACAATCCTTATCAACTTGGATACCTGTAGGAAAATCGGTAGAGAGAGGGAAAGGAAAGAATAGGGGATGTACTGAATTAAAACATCGGGATAATCTGCTTTCTAATTAAATATGTTCTCTCAGGTAAGTATAAAAAAGGAGAGAATAATAAATTAAAAAAACAGAAAAAAATAATCAGCTAGGGAGGAAACAAGGATACGGCTAGGAATTAGTCTACTGAAAAAAATCAGATTAAGAACTGTACTTCATATATGCATTTTGTTATTGTAAACAAAGTACATTTCTCTCTGTGTGTATGTGTGTGAGAGATAGAGGGGGAGAGAGGGAGAAGGAGGGAGGGAGAGAAGGGAGGAGGGAGAGAGATAACATAAAATCAGATGAGGCCCTGTAATAACATAGAGAAAACCTTTCCACAAAAATTTTTTTGTTTGTATATATAGAGAAGATTTGAAAATTTTTACCATTTTTACCAAGTTTTTACAGCAATTATTCAAAAAAATAATTTCTAACACCAGTAAATTTATAATTAATCAGAGAGGATATTCTTAGGACACCTAGATAATTCTTAACCCCAGAGATTTTGTAGGAAGTTCACTGAAGGAAACTCTCCATCTTGAGGAGAATGTGTGTTTACTGGAAGAGAAAGGCAGCATGTAGCAAGGGGAAAGTTTTGCTGAAAGCACAGAGTTTTGCCAGCATCTCAGAAAAATATGGCTGTTTTTGAGCCATGTGGCCTGGCAATGGAGTGACCTGTCCTCCTTTCCTATCCCAACATCCTGAGCTCTGAAGATCTTCAAAAGTTAAGTAAGTGATTGGTGATGGGGTGGTCAGGAAGGAAGGAGTGGGCAGGAGTTGGCTATACATTTTTTCTATGTATTATTAAAACTTTAATAATTTATTCTCTAATGGAATATATTTCAGAATGAGTATAGCAGGATTGTGGCACTATACTATAAGCATTGCTACCTTTGGGGCATACATAGAATGCCACAGTTCATGCAGGTGGAACTTGAAGAATGATGCTCTTTTTCCCAAGGACATTATAATTCAAGCTGCTATTACATTTTCAAATGAAAACAACAATAATACTATATGTACAACAAAGAATTTTGTCTAAATGTAATCAATCCTGAGGATAACGTAAATGACTAATGGCTTTGCTGATGTGCAATGTAGAGTGATTAAAGAAGATTCTATACTTAATTACTGGAAATTGAAATGAAATATCAACATTAAATAAATTGTTAAAATTTTATTTCTTTTGATGTCTCCATTGCTTCTCAGGACCATTGGAAACAAGCTTGCAAAAAGGGGTAAGCTCTGAAAATATGTCAGAAAGCTTTGTTTTTTTCATTTATTTTCTATAACATGAAATAATAATTCAAGCAATGTCAGCAGAACTTATATCTATACTCAAAATAGATGACAATCAGAATTGAAAGATCTGTGACCTACTTATTAGCCATTCCAAATTGAAAGCAATTTCAATAGCCTTAACAACCCATCCCAATTGTAGATTCCAGAACCCATTCATAATAAACAGATATGAATGTTCTATCATCAGATTTCTGGCTTTGTTTTAGTGACTAAACCAGCCTAATTCATAATAAAAAAGGAAATTTAAGAATATTAGCATATCACGATAAAATAGACCAAATATCTTCAAAATCTTTTAAAATAGTTTTATTTGACATATACAAGTTGCATTTAACTGAGAATTTAATCTAAATGTATGTATGTGGAACAAATACTTTACCACTGAATTAAAGCACCTATACATTTTTATATATTGGAGTACAAAGGTTGGATAATACAGTAAAGGATGTGTTCAGCCTCAGAATCCTGGAAAGTAATTTATTAAACAACAATAGTATATTTTTCTGTATGAAATGTTCTTATATATGTCTATGCCCCCAGGAATTTCTCATGTCCTACATTTCATATATATTTGATGCTGGTTCAATCATCAAACATTCATGTAATCAGCATGCACTAGAAATCCAACTTTCCATTTTATATTTACATTTTGGTCACTGCAAAATATATCTTCCATCTGGTTGGTTTCTCTAATAAACATTATTTTAAATGAAAAAGAGCTGTGTTGTCCTTTGCTTTAGTGGAAATGTTTCATTATGAATATTTATTTCAGTGGATTTTACTGATCATGCCAATTGGCAATGGTTATTCATTCAGTACCAAAGATTGGCGGAGAATACAGAAAAGGATAGGACAAAAGAAATGCTTATAAATGCCAGTTGTGTCACAAGCTTACCTCAAATGGACAATGTCATCACTTTGGAAGCAGCAGGATGATGCTTTGGCTTTTAATCTTTATTTTCTGAGACCAACCGAAAACTTTTGGCCAGATGTTTTGCCAGTTAAGTAGCAAGGAAATATTTGGCACAGGCTCATCAAATATGAGACAAGGTCAGAAACATTTGGAGTAGCTTCACTTATGATGTAATTGATCAACAATTACATTAGTATTTATGATTCAGTGAGCTGAAGGATGTGATGCCTATTATTGGAAACAATTAAATGTGTAATCCACATTGGTTCTGGTTGCGATGAACTAAAAGGGCAAAATGGGCAAAAGAAGGCAGGCCAAAAACTGGAAAGTTAGGATGTGAAATTCCAGAAGGCTAAAGAAAAAGGTGGTCCAAGGTGATAGAGGAGAAAGATCAAATGAAAAAGCCAATCTCTCTCGCAGTAATCTTTAGATAAAACCATTCCTCCCAGAGCAAAAGCACCTATCTGCTGTTTAAGCAGGAGATGCAAGTATCGAAAGATTCTCAAATCATCGAACCCATTCCATATCCAGCAACTGGGATAAATGTTTTGGTGCCACAGCATCTATTGAAAAAGTGCAAAACCATCTTGGAGGAATTCAGCCTTAGCTTATTTGTCTCAATCATTTCTTAATCTCCAAGTTCAGGACTTTCACAGCATTTTCACAATAGCCCAGGTAAGCAATACACAACCATGCACCATCAGCATATTGATAACACTTCCACTACGAGTGATAGATGACCTCTTCCAGTAACTTTTTGTAAATGTTAAATAATACAGGCAGAAGCCCTGAGGAGTCACCTACTGGATTAGCTAGGATTTGAGACATTTTGTGCCAGCGTAGGAGCAGAAGCATTGTAAAAAACCACTCCTGTCCCTAGAATGAAACCATGTTCAAATGCATCTGGAAGTCTAAACAAGGCATACTTTTCTAATCTAGACTAAATGGTCAATTTCAATCCCCAAGGATTGATGAGATTATCCACTATTGTTGTTATTGTTATAATGGTTGGTCAAACAGTCAGTCGAGTGTTTAGAGTGGATTTGGCATTTTGGCCTCCCAGGTCCTTCCATCTACATATTTTTTTAATCTGCAGAAAAAATTACACATATTTCTGGTGGGCTTGTTAGTGCTTCGTTTCATCCTTCTTTCCTTAATACAACCAATTTGGTTGGGTTTTTTCCCATACCCCTAACCCTCTTTTCTATTCCAGATGACTCTATTCTTTCCATCTTCTTCCAATTTTCCACATATTACCCTCTATTGCACTGTCTTCAACTTTGTGCCATGCAAATTGCCCGTCTTTCTTCCACTGTAATCTTCTCTTGTTTTCTGACTCTTTCTAATATTTGCACTAAAACTTTTTTGTCTCTTCCCTTCAAACCCAATCTGCTAAATCCCAGAGACCTGACTATTCCTTGCCAACTAATCCTGAACCTAAAATTAAATCCCACATTGTGCTTTGTATATTGCCAATTGTTTTTTAAAAAGAAACAAAAATATAAAGACCATTTAAAATGATCAAAACATTATGTTCCAAAATATGAATTCCACTTAAAATTTCACTTCTGTCATTTGCGTAAAGTTCAGGCTGTACAGAAGGAACAAGTTGGCATTCATTTGTTGTTTTTGTCAAATCTGACAATATCTATTAATAAGACATTTGATTATAACTTGCATTTTCAGATTCCCAAATGCAGCTGGAGCCTGTTTTGTTTTTGTTTATAGCCAAAGCCCTTAATTTGCACTTGATTATACCCAGTCTTTTAGGCAGTTAGGCCAAATGCTGGAAGATCCTAAATGCTGGCAACTCTCACAGAAATCCTAATTTCTGCACAATGTTATAATTATTGTATTCCAAGAAGATTAGCATAATAAAAGGAACACTTATGGCAGACTATCAGAAGGAGTCTGGTAGCCTCTTTTCGGACTAACAAATATTTATTAAAACATATAAGCTTTTGTGAACTACAATTCACTTCATCAGATGCTATAGCTCATGAAAGCTTATGGCTTTTAATAAAATGTGTTAGTATGAAAAAGTGCTACCATGCTCATTCTGATTTTTTGGCTACAAAAATCCTACAATATCTATTACCGTAAAATAAAACCAAATTGTGAAGAGGAAAAATACTTTTTGCTCATGATCAATTTTCATACTATTAAATGGAATAAAGCTTCACAGTTTTGCACTCCTTTTCACTAAATTTATCTCTCTTCTCCAACCTTTTTCTTCTTGTGGGCATTCTTGGAATTGTCAAATGTCTTGCTGACTCTTTTACAAAATGGTTTGTGGGAAAGAACATTTCCATGCACAAAAATCTCCAAAATACACCAAAATGCTAAGCGACTTTCTTTGTACCTCCACTTCCTTAAGTTGTTCCCTACTATCCCTTGGTAGATCACAAACTCCCAAATACGGCACTACATGAGATTACTAGATGAGATTTCAGCATTTTAATACATGTATATAAAATAATTGATTAAATTAAGTCCCATTTGGATTCCAGAGTAGTCTTGGAAATAAAAATGGTGCTAAAAGCTAGTGCTTTACTTTGCAGCAGTGCTACCTTCTTCTTCTTAAAAATAAAAATATTAGTCCCTTTGCACCATGTTTCCAAAGCGGAAAACATGGAAGATAGCCATAGGTAAATTGGTGCTCCCAGATGTCATATGCTGTAACAATTTCACTACCCTCTCCAAGTTGTTGCCCTGTACAATTCCTGCAAGAAGACCCCCACCTTCACCCATCTCCAGCTGAATGGAGGGGAACAAAAGAAAAGAAAAGAAAAACCCAATAGCCTGATGTTTTAACATAATGAAACTCTTGTCAGTTTCACCCCAGGTTATGGGAGTGACAGGGCATTCAAGCTAGTATTTTCTTAAAACTCTCAGGAATGAGAAATACTTAGAAAATAGTTCCTTCCAAAGGGAAATCAGAGCCATGACATCTCAAAACAACAACAAGCTTTGCAGGAGTTTCAACTACAAGCAGATAAAAAGAAATAAATCAGGTCAGCTTTTCAATACTGTTGGTAAGGGAAGAAAAAGATCTGGCACAACTTTCAAACTGGCACAGAATCCTTATGTAAATTAACCACAGTTAATGTTAACCTCAGTTTATTCATCCAAACAATACTTTAAAGTACATTTTTACTTCAAATAAGAAGAGGCAAGGAAATGAATCCAGCAGTAGGCTAGTTTTGTTACTATCTCAATAAACTACAATTTGTTGTGATTTCTAAGTATAGTCAAAGTGAAGAATACTGGAAACTATACAAAGAGAAACTCCTAGAATGTTAAACAAATGCATGGCATAATTTATATCCGTTTATCCAGTTGCTGAATGGGAGTTTTTGTATGTAGAAAATATTTAATGATTGAAATGGGGGATTACCATAGGTATTGAAAGGAGGAAAAAAAGTTACAATTACTCTACTATAAAATAATTCTTATACATCAAATAAACTTGTACATTGGTCAACACTTAAAATGAACTTTAAAAAATAAAGATACATGAGAAGATAAAATAAATAAAAACAATCCAAGCTGCAAACTAATCTGGAATCCATTAGCAAGTATAAGGACAAATTAACTTTTACACACACACACACACCAAAGCTGTACTTTCCATGGATGTCCTAGGATGGGAGTGTTGCTCACAAAAGGCAAAAAGGGATAACCCAATGCACAAAAAGAGGGTGGAACTTTAATTGCATGGTTGTGGTTGAAGTCTTGACTTCTTTGCTTTCCCCTCCTCATGGACACTTTGACTTTGTGGGTCATTTGTCACACATGTCCAATACAGGAAACTGGAGCACGCCAGAAAGTGCTACCTAATGAACTATCAGTAGCACTTATGAGATATTATTGATCAAATATTAAATGATTAGTAGGAAATATCTAGCCTTAGTCCAGAGCCTGATTTATTCCTTCCCTGACAAATAAATAATGATACTGATAATGCTGATCGTTGCTTAGCCAGCTTTCTCAAACATGGTGGTGATCTCCAGAATGACTTCTAATGCCATTTGGGAATTCCGAGAACTGCAGCCCAAAGCAGGTGGAAGACTCCAAATTGAGAAAGCATATTTGTATTCTAGAAGCAAAGAACACATCTTCCAAAATGTTCTTGTTTATAGTTTATAGTTTGGAAGACCCAAATACAAAAGAGGAATAATCTAAATAAATCTTAAAGAGGCCTACTACGTGGTGAGAGGAGGATAAATTTAAATTTTATTGCAATCTACAACCAGTATAATTATAGCAATTTTGCAGTATATTTTTTAAAAAATAATCTATAGCTATTTTGGTTTAAGAAGTAAATAGTGAATTAAATAAAGAAAATAATGTTACTATGTGTACAGTCCTAAATATTTTAGTACATTATTTTTTTTCCTGATTAACAATGTATCTTCTATAATTTCTGTATAAAAATACATGATGATAAACAGGTATGTGATGTACTATGTGACTTTCATAAGAAAAATTTGAATTTAATGCTCCATATGTTATGATAAAAACTAATGTCTGCTCATTTCACAGGCTTCTTCTCAGAAATTCCTAGAAATAAAATATCTTTTCTATTTGGAATAAATTCTGCAAGTACCTTAATAAAAGTTATGTATAAGCAATATGACACTACTTTAACATGTGACTAAATAAGGGGGGAAACAATTAATGGATCCAGATAAAATATATTAATGTGACCAATATATTTATTTTCCTTTTTGTTATAAAATAGGATCCTCAAATTTTATTGATGTTATTTCAGTGTAACTTCAAAAACTTTTTCCTTCAAGATAGTAAAAGCTTGTAAATCTTTAGTAAAATACTTATTTAAATGCTATTGTTATTAGGTTCTATCAAGTCACAGCTGACTCCTATTGACCATGTGGATAAAAGCTCTCCAGACTGATCTATTGCTTACGTTCTTACGGAATTCCTGCAGGGGCATTTGTAGGACTCCTAATTCTCTGTCTTTCTGTCCCAAGAGCCATCAGCAGCTTCTTCTTCTTCTTCTGGCTACCTGACCCAGCATTATAATCATTTCATAAATGCATCAACTCTCATGAAGTGTCCAACGTATGACTGTTTGTGTTGCATACTTCTTTTATTTCAACTTTAGTTTTTCTAGACCTGTGAGCTATATAATATATTCAGTCTATAGAATGAACAGGTCTGACTCATTTTCCAATGATAAATACTCTTATCCCTGAAATTTCTGGTTATTTAGAGATTTCTTCTAAAAAAATAATTTGAGCCTGCTCATTTGTGCTTAAAATGAGAACTCTGGGTTGACTTGATCCATAATCAAACTATTGGTTTGTTTTCTTGGCAGTCCTTAGTATTCTGCGGTGTCTTGTCTAACACCAAAGTTCAATAGGTTTCCTATCCTGCTTCTTCAAATCCAATTACATAGAAAGCCATAGGAAATATATCAGCCCTCTCAGATGAACTAGATAGGAAATATCACTAGAAGAACTAATTCTACTTTAGTGTAGGATCACATTAAAGGACTTTTGCAAGCCTGAAAGTACAAACTTCCTGCCACTACTTTTAGCTGCTTGATCCCTGTTTGTTTACTCTGTGCATATACTCCCAATGTTCTTTATTCATCCTTCCCAAGAATACAAGTAACATCCCTTGCACAGTAGGACTTGGGGGAGGACCAAATTAATTACAAATGAATAATTAGATAACATCTCAAGTATCCCAACCCTAATCCATCAAGAAGTCTTGGTAAAAGCTAGAACATTGAACCAATTTCGATGAGATTTTAATTAGAGGGAAGAACTGTGGCTTGTTTTGGTACTGGGTAACCAAGATACTTGAAATATTGAAGCAGAAGCTACATCCTTCTTCTGAGACTTGGAATTAAGGAGAATCATCTTTCCTTTGGTTATGTATGTCTTGTAAGGGACTTTTGCATATCCCGGACAGAATATTGGTTTGAAAGTCCAGCCCAACCAAATTCATCACTTTTATCAGGATGTCATGGAAACACAGTGATGAATGAGATGAATAGAATCATGTCTCTGTCTCTGTGTGAAATATTCTATTTATATTAAGAATAGAAATATAGTTAGGTGAGTCTCTTGAGAATCAGGCTTTTAAGGAGCTCTGTAATGTATGAGACCAAAGAGTAATTGAATCAATAGTTGGAAATTAAAGCTGGTGAATTTTAAATTCAATATAAGGCAAAAATCTTTAATGGTGAATATAATTAACTATTCAGACTGTTTATCAGGGAAGGGGATGGATTAAATAATTCATTATTTATTCATTTAACTATGATTAGACACTTCGTTAAAAGATGTGGTTTCATCCATTAGAAAACAAATCAATGATCTTAATATCATAATGATAGCAAGTTGGTGATCTATGTTTATGTGATTCTTGTAGAAACAATTCCACTTTAAAGACAGAACAATGGCTCAGCTGTATAGATACAGTATGCATGTATTCCATCACACCTAGACTGTGCAGATTAAGTTATTATAATGTTTATTTGGAAAATAATTACAATTACTTCTTAGTATGTGGTGTGTGGTTCATCAGACAGAAAATGATAGTTATTTACCATTTTTCCCTAACATTCCAGTTCATACTATTTGACCTTCAGATGTTTTTGGAGTGACAGTGGTTGTACCACTAATAATGTCCTGGTATGTTGTTTTAGCTAATTAATACTGAATATGGCAACCATATTAATGCACATCGGGAAATCTTCCTGACAAGATCTCCTAATTCTTATTTCTATTAAAATGATTTAAGCTAGGAAACTGGTATACTGCAAAAGGACATACCAACCTCCAGCTGCTACCTTTATTTCCAGTAATATATATGCCTTCCCCCAGATACATTCTTAAAAGATTAAAAATGGCAGGCAGCTGGAGTCAGGGTTTTATTTTGAATATGTCTAATTATTCCACACCAATAAGGAAAGGTAATCTTGAAACCTAATTTGGAAAGGCAATGGGGATGTGTTGCTAATGGCTGCATTTTGTTGAGCATTTTGCATTTTGTTAAATGACTAATTTGTTGTGCTTTATGGGAACAAATATATGATTTTGCTTTGGGAATTCAAAACATATCTCTGTATTATTGATCAAGTTATTTATCTCCAAGTTTTGTTTTTTAGAATTCAGTCCTTTGCATTCTATTTAAGATCTTGGTAATGCTTCTTCCCCACACCGCTCCCCTAATCTTACAGCTTTTTTGCCTTCTGGGAAATCAACACTTTATGACTGCCCATACTCAGCCATCTGTTGAATGGGCAAATCCTGCCCCAATAGAGTTCAGTACCCAAATTTAAAATGTCTCAGCTGGCCCAAAGAGTTTGGAAAAATCTTATTTTAGCTATCAATAGCAGAGAAATCTTGAAATATTCTTATTTATATTTGGCTTTGGCTTTCAATTTCTTTCTAGGCACAATTCAAGGTGCTGGTCATCATCTTAAAAGTCCTATATTGTACATGTTATCTGTGGGACTGCTTTTCCCTAAGGACACCTATCCATCTTACCAGGTAAGATGGGGGGGGGGGTAGTTCCGTCCTCAAATTTATGTAATGCAATGCCTTGCAATAAAGAGCTAGCCTGTTGTGAGTATACAGTATACAGTTCATAACAATCAAGTATACAGTTCATAACACTCATAACCCAAAACTGAGCCATGCACTTTCGTGCATGGTTCCTGCATTTCTGCTGTTGCCAATTTAGTGGTCATAGATGCTATTTTACTCACATCCCCAGACCATCTTTGTTTTGAATTTTATTTTAATTCTGAAAAAATAAATAGGAAGCAAGCATCTTGCAAGCAAAATCTTATACATAGTCTATATTTCCAGTTCAATGGTTCAGAGTCTTAAATGGCTGGATAGGCAGAAAATAAAAATGGTGGATGGAAGTAGACTAATGTTTTGTTTGAAAATAAACCTAACTTGCCAGGAAGAAAACCCATCTCTTTTAGCAGGAAAAGTATGCATCTTAATATCTGAAGGTAAAAAGAGTTATTACAGTTTATCAAAAGTGTTGGATGTAATTGATTTCTGCTGAAATTTGTCTATTTGTGAAGGAAAAGAGAAAGGACTTACTCAACTATATTATATAGCATCTTGTCTTCTAGATTACTGCAATGCACTCTACATGGGGCTATCCTTGAACACTATCTAGAAACTTCAAATGGGCCAGAATGCAACAGTGCCTACGATAATGGGAGCCCTTAGATTTGCCCATTAAACACCTCAATTGCATGAGCTGCTTTGGCTTTCAGCTTCTTTCTAGGTACAATTCAAGGCACTGGTCATCACCTTAAAAATCCCATATGGCACAAGGCCAGGCTATGTGTGGGATTGCTTTTCCCTAAGGACATCTATCCACCTTACCAGGTGAGATAGAGTGGGTAGTCCCTTCCTGTAAATATTGTCATCTGATAGGAGCTAAGAAGTGTGTCTTTTCCATGGCAGCCCCTGCCCAATGAAACACCTTGTCCTCTGAAGTTCAGCTGGCCTCCACCCCTTTTAGACTTCTGTAAAGCTTTGAAAAGCTGACTTTTCTCCCAAGCATTGAAAGAAGACTAATTAATCACATATTAGAACTAATTTGGCACCAGGTTTTTGTTTTTAATGTTTTAATTAAGTTTTATAGCTTTAACATGATTTTTAGATGTCTTTTAATTTATTATTTGGACCTGCCCAGAGCTGGTGAAAGACAGCTGGGTATGTAAATGTTTTAAATAAAATAATAAAAAAATACAATAGCCAAGGGGTTCCATTAGAGCAGTGGTCCCCAAGCCCCGGTCTGTGGACCAGTACTGGGCTGCAGCATGCCCACAAGTCCGCACAAACAAGGAAAGCCCCATCCATGGGATGTAGGCAGCACACAAAACCACACACTCTCCAGTGTGCAGAAAAACCGGTCCCTGGTACCCCAAAAGTTGGGGACTTCTGCATTAGAGATATTCTTTTTTTTCATATTTATCTTTAATTTCCAGAAAGGCAGCACAATATGTGAGAGGTTTAGTTCTCTCACCTACCAGAAGGAAACAAAAGTGCCCCTAGAGATTGGGGCAAGGATGGATAGTCACAGAAAATTTCTGGGGAGGAGCTTTGAGATTACTAGCCTTTCTTCTATGAGTTTAGATATCCAATACAAAAGCCTTCTCTCTGTTTTAGGAAGAACAAAATAAGAAACTCATTAATAATATATTTATCATGACAAGTCTATATCTGTCTTTAGACATGATTAGATGCTGAAAATTCATAGTTAATTTAAACTATATTTCTAATTCTTGAATTAACATCTTATATATTTATTAGGATTTAACATTCTTTAAAGGAATCCCTTCCCCATAGATTTTTTTTTGTGGGAGGGAGGAATTAGGTAGCAAATTGTGATGTTCTTTTCCTTGTCTTTATTATATCTTTTGTGGGTGGTAAACCTATATAACCACATCGGGCTTTGTCCTTGCTTTTCTCAGAGAAGGATCAGATTAAAGAGTTCCTCTATAGAAAGTTCTCTCTAGTATTCCATCCTACAGGCCCAACAGTTGCAATCAGAATCATTAAAAATACAAACTGGTTGGGTTAGCAATACATGAGTCCCAAAGATGCTTTTCCAACTGGACATTCTTGGTTTTTTTCCTTGAAAATGTTTTGTTTCTCATCCAGGAAGCTTCTTCACTTCTGACTACTACTACAGGAGCACCGAAGCACTTTTGGGTTGAAAGGATTGAATGGTGACATACCACTGCTGTGGTGGCACAGTGGTTAGAATGCAGTAATGCAGGCTACTGCTGCTGACTGCTGGCTGCCAGCTGTTCGGCAATTTGATTCTCACCTGCTCAAGGTTGACTCAGCCTTCCATCCTTCCGAGGTTGGTAAAATGAGGACCCAGATTGTTGGGGGCAATATGCTGATTCTGTAAACCGCTTAGAGAGGGCTGTAAAGCACTATGAGGCGGTATATACATCTAAGTGCTATTGCTATTGCATGGGAGACACCCAATTTTAGGCTCCTTTCATATCCCCATTAAGTTGCCTACTGAAGTGGTACCCCTCTATCTACTCACAGTCACCTGCTTTCAAACTGCTGGGTTGGCAGGAGCTGGAGCATGTGATGGGAGCTCACCCCATCCTGCAGCAGCCACTGGGTCTTGAACATAACCTGCCAGTTGTCAGCCCAGCATCCTAACCTCATGAATTACTGCACTTCTCTTCAGTCCTGAGCAAATGGTGGGGAATGAGCCTTGATGCAAACTGCTTAAAACAATTCTGATTCTCTAGTAAAAGTATAGTAGCACAGAAATATGCAGGCAATTCTAGAATAAAACCTAGGATTCAGAGAAAAGACATCACTTATTCTAAGGCAGAACAGATGGAGAGACCACCTGGCACTAACTTTTTGTGGCAAGCTCACTTTATAGGCTCTCTTATAAAACAGGTTGTGAACCTTGAACACAGCTATCTCTTTCATTTTCACAGTTTTATCCCTTTATTATGAATCATATCTGCTTCTAGCATCTGATTTCATATGGGCTACTATATTACATACCAATTAAACAAAATATTTCTAAAACAAAATTTTAAAGATTTTTTTAATGCCACTGCATTAATTCAAACTACAATACTTTATATAATAGTAAGTTGAAAGCAAGAACTATTTAGTTAGTTTTTTTATTAGTTATATGTTAACTTTCCCAGTAACTTAACATGTTAAACATATTTCTCAAAATGAGTAGCTTAAAGGAGGGACCATATACCTGAATAAAGCATAGCTCAGTTACTACAGATTTGGCATCTTGTCTTTTGGTTTTGACATTCTGGAAAATGTCCTGTTTCTATGTTGAACTAGTTTGTGCTTCAAAAGCTGAAGAGGTAAACATTTAATTATATTCATAGTGGCACAAAAATTATGTTGACTGAAAATGAACTCTTATTATCAACATTTTTGCAATTATTCAATCTTTAAATATTTTTTTTCATTGAAAGTTTATTTATTTGCCAGTTGCCGGCTGCAATTTTAAATGATTATTTTGTCTTTATAACAATCTTGCCTCTAAAATTTAACTAATTTGGCATGGTATATTTGTTTTTTTCAAATACTCATTTATTTCAGCTCTTTTGTATTTACACATTATAAACATGAGGATAATAATTTCAGTAAATATTAAAGTGGAAATCCCTTTAAGACTCATAATTTGCAATTTAATGTTTAAAACTGTTTATGTGGTATGCAGCATTTATAACTTTTCTCTTGCTAGAGAATCTGCTTTTTTTATGTAATCTGGAAGATGAACAAAATATTCATGGCCAAAAAACAAGCAAGCTGAATACCAATTGCAAATTTTAATTTGTTCTAATGAGTAGATGATCTTCCATCTAATAGCTTTCTCTGTCATAATATATGCATACAGTACAAAAGTTGGATTTTGTAGAAAAACAAGAATAAAAAAATGACTCCTTTGAATTTTGGTGCTGTGTATGTGGAACGATTCTGGGAAACAGGAAAAAAACTGCAAATGGGATAACAGGCATGTAAATATGTCTTAGCCAACTGAAGGAGGAATGGCATTCTGAAAAAAATGTTTCAGAAGAGGTCTTCCCTAGTTTTCCAGAGAGGAAAGGAAAGGACAGGTATTTTCAGTCTTGCAAGATTTTGTTAATGTAACTTTTACAATAAAGATATTGCTAGTACTCCAGTTGGGCTTCTTGTCTGGACTGCCTTGCAAGGTTAAAATGCAACAACTTGCTGCATTGGATAGCCAAGGACTTTCATTGGATAGCCAAGAAGATGAATGGGAGGAAATCAAACTTGCTTTTGCTTCTAAGCATCATGAAACACAAATATATGCTGCACACATCATAAATATATGTCAATATAAAAGGGGGGGTCAATATAAAAGGGGGGGAAATGACATTGCCATAGGTCTATACTATAGGCCACCCAACCAAACAGAGGAAATAGATGAACTTTTTGCTAGTCAGCTAACTAAGGTATGTAGGAAGCACATCACAATAGTAATGGGGGACTTTAACTACCCTGGCATCAACTGGGAGACAAACTCTGCACCATGTGGAAGATCAAACAGATTTCTGACAAACCTTGCAGACAACTTTGTCTCCCAAAAAGTAGAGAAGGGAACTAGGGGATTAGCCATTTTGGATCTAATTCTCACTAACAGAGATAAAATAATAGAAGGTATTGAAGCCATAGGAACCTTGGGAGGAAGTGATCGTGCAATATTGGAATTCAACATTATGGAAGCACAAGCAATAGAACACAGTCAAACTAGAGTCTTGGACTTTAAGAGAGCTAATTTCAATAAACTTAGAAAGGGTTTGGGAAGGATTCCATGGATGAGAATCCTCAAGGGGAAAACAACTCAAGAAGCTTGGGAAATTTTGAAAAGTGAGATAATAAAAGCCCAGTCTAGCACAATACCAACAAAGAGGAAAAATAACAGTTCTCAAAAGAAACCAGCATGGCTGCATAAAGAACTCTCTGATAAATTGAAAGATAAAAAGGAC